CTTGGCACACAGCAAAAACCGTCGACGCGGAAAACAACTCAAAACCGTTGCCTAGGCAATACTCGATTTTTATTGTAATCAGGCCTCATTTACATTTTTATCTTCTAGCTTTTTCACGCTTGTTTTTATTCTCAATTTTTCGCACCCCATTCGTATATATTTTCGCTTGCGCGCCACATTTTTCATTCGTTAAAGGCTATATACTGATAGCCGAAAGCTTATGTTTTTAATATATTTTTAACCAGAGAACCTTTTTATTCCAATATTTTAATAATAATATTTTTATTTCCATCTTTAATACAATTACTAATTAATAATAATCATCATCATCATCATCATCATCATCATCATCATAACAACAATAATACATTTACAGGGAACACATGACTTTGAATATTCTTAAAACTACTCCCCTAGTAGCAATTTTTATAGTCAGTATTACCAGAAGCGAGACTTCACCAAGACTAGTATTTCAGTCACCTAAGTAGAGAAATAATATAAAATTCAAAGAAACAGAAGACTGTATGCAAATGGCTCAAACAGATTTCACTCTTTTGATGGCGTAACTTCAGTTATTTAATATCTTCACCAAACGTGATTTAATTCCTTCAACTCAATGAGTTTATTTTTCTCTCTTTCAGAGGACTGTCATATAACCAAATCAAGGATTTATTTCGCCTGGGTAATTCTTCGATCAAAGAACTTTTTGAAATGTAAGAAAAATCAAACGCATGTTTACTACTGTCTGACTGTAACTATTTTCGTCTTTATGTACTTATTACGTCCATTTTATAATCACTGGCGATCCTTGCGATCTGATTGGCTCTCAGCAGGACTATTTATCCACAAATCGCACTATTTCTTTCTGCAAAATGAGATTTCAAAGCGTTTCCGGTTCTGCTTTTATAACGAAAGAGCTACAGGTCAATAAAATATTGGTACTGACCAAAATCCTGCATTTAGCTAATAAAATTGTGTGATTTCAAAATGGATGTTATAAAGTGGCCATTCAAAACTTCGTGTTGTGCAATTTTGGCTGAAATCACCGTGATTTAAAATCACACGTATGATTTCAGAGAAAATTGCTCTCCACTCAGTTCAATTAGCACTATAAATTAGTCCTACAATTGGAATATTATACCTCTCTTTTAACTTGGAAAATCCAAGTTATAGGTATGGATGAGAGATTCACTCCTTAGCTCCTTCGCTTCCTGTTAGAGTTTTGACGAATCCCCTGACCAATGTCACAGTCGTAGAGAAGTTCAAGTTAATTCGACGTTTGCATTAATTTTTTTACGCAAGTACTCAATATCTCACCCCAGAAGTAATCTACATTGAGAAGATTTTCGTACGTCTCTAAAAATAGAAGCTAATACTAGCGCTTTCTCTGAAGGTGTCCGCTAATACAGGTTTGAATCGTACTGTACTCGACTTTAAATAGATGAGATATTGAAAATTGCAAAATTGATAAGCTGTATGAATTTTCGAATAAATATAGCCGTAATTAAGATTTTTAGGCGAAAAACGGACAGGAGAATTTCAAGAAGGCGAGATGATATGAGCAAATAGTCGACAAAAAGAGCCAAAGACATTACACAAAACTGAGAGTTCTGCAGTCACTGATATCGCCTTGGAAAGGTAAGGAAAAAAAGGAAGAGGAAAGGAAAATAGAAATCATTATAACACCGGGTATTCGTAATTGATCACCCAACCAAGCACTCATCCCGCTGAACAGGGCGACGACGACGCGGTGCTGCTCTTGTGGCATAGTGATTCTACGCTGAACACAGTAGTTTATTCCTGTCATCTCTCAAATTTCGAACCTCACACTTGGAATATGATCTAGAACCTACGATCGTAAATGCCTAACTGAAGACTAGTTTTAGATCTCATCAAAGATAGATAGATAGATAGATCGATAGATAGATAGATAGATAGATAGACAGACAGACAGACAGACAGACAGGCAGATAGACAGATAGATAGAGAGAGAGAGAGAGAGAGAGAGAGAGAGACCGACAGACAGAGAGATAGCTAGATAGGTAGATAGATAGATAGATAGATAAATAGATATAGAGAGATAGATAGATAGATAGACAGATAGAGAGATAAATAGATAGATAAAGATAGATAAATAAATAGATAGATAGACAGATAGATAGAAAGATAGAAAGATAGATAGATAGATA